TTCCAGCAATAACACTGATGGTAAGAAGGAACTGTGAGAGAGGGGGGGCTGGCAGCACCCCTAACATAGTTGCATACACATACCACTCCAGAGGTTGCCAGAGCCAGTCCCATATGAATATCATCAAGTTAAAACTTCTAGCACCAGTGCATGTGTCAAGCATGCACACCTACAATGGAATAGACACGAGCAAGCACTCAAAGAAGAAAGTAACATTAAGTACTGGATTTCCATCTGACAAGGGCTATGGCCATTTATACACTGACCCTATTCTCTGTCCTCAAATCATGAATCACTTTTTCATTAAAAACAAAAGGTGACAACAGGTAAAGTTAATACAAGTCCAAAGGCATCCTTTCAAAGGGGAAGGAAGTAGAGCAGGATGAGGAGGCAATGAACAGAAGCACAACAGGATTAAACAGGAGAGTGAAAAGGTGAAAGATATCTGCAGAAGTTCCAGCAAGAATCAAGAAACATTAAATCAGAAGCAGGAAGCTTTCCTCAGGAGATAGGAGAGCAATGGACCTTGTGAAGTTAGCCTCAATTAAACAGCCCTTCCCTTCCTTTCCTATTTATTTTTGGTTCTGCACATCCAACACTCCAGTCATCTGAAGAAGTGGGCTGTGCCCACAAAAGCTCATGGTACCATCTACATGTTTTGTTAGTCTTTAAAGTGCTACCAGACTTTTTGTTGTTTATTAAGTTTATCCTGTACAGACTAACTCAGCTACCCCTCTGAAGCTCCTAAATATTTGTGAATTCTCATAGTCATTGCTAAAAAGCAACGGTACTGTTCTGAAATTATCTACAGATTAACATAAATGTGAAGACAGATACCAACATGAATTTTGTTGTGAAGAAAATACTTTCAGTTTATAATGTCACTGCTTTCAACAATCTCACTCAAATCTGGCAATATAGAGGCTAAAAGTGTTTTAATGATGAGTGGATCAGCATTATCTTATCATTCAGTTACACTGTCAATAGACTAGCAGATTAAAAGACATTTGTTAATGTTTAAGCTGCACTTGTAAGGTTAGAGGAAAGATAGAGAGTAAAAGCCTGGTCTTTCACACTACCGAGTTGCATTCAGCTTTGTTACAGATTTTAAACCCAGGGAGGCATGCAACTTCATGTTTTTTTTAAATCAAGTAACTAGGATTTTGTTAAATGAGAACCTGCATGTTCTATATTAATATTCAGAAACTATAAATAACAGGAAGCCTTATTGGATGAGATCAGTCACTTTAAAACAATTTTTAACTGTTATTTATTTTTAACATATTAATGTCTGTACTGGTGCAGAATATAGTTAAAACAACATTCCATTTTTCATTCACACTAACCACCTTTAGTAAACTAATGTGTGAACAACTCACATGCAAAAGGAAAGGATCCTTCAAGGAAGCTTTTTTACCTACAGCCATGTTCCCTCACTGCCCCCAACCAACAAGATGCAAGGTCCCAGATACATCACCACCATTCTTCTGGAAGTTGTGGATAGAAAGCTTGGGGGATCCTTTCTGAGGAAATGATCCATAAGAACCACTAATATTAATCTACTTCCACAGGAACAATGTGATAATTTTTCCTTGCCTTGATCCAAGATTGAGTATAGAAGAAACAAAGTAAGCACAACTCTTCAGAAACGACAGCACACTGGCATTACTTTGTTTGCTTGACATTATCAATGACACCATGCCAAAAGTGAGGGGATGGTGATGAAAAATGGGGAAATGAGATTTAGGAAACAGCCATCACTACAATAATGACCTGTAAACACAGTGCCTTAGGCTGGGATTACAGATTTCACAAGGAAATAGAGTTTAGGTTAAGTCAGAAAGCCATGGGAAAACTTCCAAGAAAAAGCCTAAATGCTACAAGAAGCTATATTAACGTTTTCACATTCTTCCCTCTGAATCAGTAGCAAAACATTGTTCTTCAGAGTTCCTATGCTGCTGAAGGTGAATTTTGATTACTAACCATCCCATGATATCAGGGCCAAATGAAGAAAGGGCTTGGAGGGGGCACCAAAAAGATTTCTGGGCCACCAAAAGTACAGATATTTTTGTGAGGTCCCCTTGGCCCCAGGGCCCTGTGCTGAAGCCCCTGAGTGTTGTCTGGCCAGGAGTGGAGGAGAGGGAGAGAAGGCAATGGCTCCACAAGCCACTATTACCTCTGCTTGTAGCATCAGCAGGGAACATCAGTGGGAGCTGCATCACTGTGAGTGCTGGGAAAAAAATCACTGTTCCTGTGCTACCCCCATTTGCAGGAATCCCAGCCTATGGGAGCAGATGGGGCTGGTGTCTGCATGCGAGCTCAGGACAGTACAGCCTATAGAGCCTCCTGCTCCCACCACTAGAACAGGAGAGCTGCCCTAGTAAGCACCCTGTATCCCAACCTCTGCCCTGAGCTCCCTCTCTTGCTCCTACTCCCTCCTAGACCCCTCATCCCAAACCTGAGCTCCAGCTCTGAACCCACTCCAGCACCTTAACCTCTACCCAGACCCCACAATCCCACCCCAACCTCCTGTCCTGAGCACACTCCAACCCCCTTGGCTTCAGCCTGAAGCCTCCTCCTACACCCCAAATACCTCATCCCCAGCCCATCCTAGAGCCTTCACTCCCCACCCCCATTTCAACCTGCAGTCCCCTACTGCACTCTGAACCCTTCATTTTAGGCTCCGAGATGGAGCCAAAAGGGCCCCACAAAAATCAATTTGCCTTGGGCCCCCAGAAGAGTTATAAGCTGACCCTGCATGAACCACTGCAGAGGAGATGAAGTGTTAGCCCTAGTGGGCTGACCAAACTCAAATAATAAGTAAACACATTCTGCCCATCTGCATCATCCCTGTAGTTTCATTTTCTATCCTAACAGTGTTGCTGTACACTGTTAAAAAGCTCTTATAGTCCTCCTCAGAAGCAGACACATTTCACTGAGTTAAATTATTTCTATATACAAAGATGAAGTGGCTTCGAAACTATCATCACAAAAGAGATGTAAAAATATATAAGATAAATTGTGAAGGCTGAGAAATAATATGAATATTCTCCCCTCCCACTAAGATGTTTTTAACTGTTCTGCATTTTTAGAAGACAAACAATCACAAAGGATATGTCTATATAGCCATAAGAGACCTACAGCATGACCATGGCTGGCCTGTGTCAGCTGGTTCAGGTTTGTAGGGCTCAGGTGTGGGACTACACAACTATAAAGATAACATCTGGGTGTGGGCTGAAACCCAGCTCTGCCACACTGTGAGAGGGATGGTCTCATTACCCAGACTTCAGCCCCAGCCCAAAATGTTAACACTGAAATTATTAAAGCCGCAGCCTAAGACAGAGTCAGTTGACCTGGTGACTGCACATGGTGCTGCAGGTTTTTATTGCAGTGTAATCATATTCCAAGATTCACCTAGGATCAACCATTATGCAGTCTTTCATTGCAACAAAGTTATTACATGAATTCCAAATACAGTGCTCATAAATTCCCTATCTACAACTTTTTAAAGAGGTAGTAGAGTTGAAACCATGGCTTTTAAAAACATTTTAGTTGAAATATGTATAATCAGGTTCCCACCTCCCAATGCTTTATGAAAGCTGGTTTACAGATTTGCATAAAGCATCTTCAAATTATGCATAACAGATCATGTAACATGTTAATTTTACAGTTAGTCTGCTGAATCTGCATATTAAATTTAGTGCATGTATAATTCTTGTATATGACGTTAGAAATATGAAGTATTTATCTATTTGTATTTCTAAATGTGCCAACTGGTGGTCTGGCACTTAATGATCAATACTCAAATCAATGACTTGTGAATGGCCATTTTTGTCCAATAAACCCATACTGTGGCTGGCCCTAGAGAGACATGTGACCATGCCACCTGATATTGGAATCCATCTTGAACCTAGTATTTTTTCATAGGGATGAAGAGTGCTGAACAGAGAGTTCTTGCCTTGGGGAAATCTATTTAAACAATAAGAAGCCATCAGCCTTTTGTCTTCAGCTATCTTTTGAATCTGCCCTGCCCACCTTAAGAGATTACTTGACAAAGAATTTTGAAAAGCTGTTTACTCCACTGGAGGTCTACAACTCAAAAATGCTGAAGCTTTTTACTCAAGATAAGAGTAGCTGTTTAGGGTAAGAATTTTCATGTAACAAGTTTTAGTGGATTAGAACTAGCTAAGCAGTTTTTATTCATTTTAATTTAGTAACTTATTTTGTGAGTAAAAACCATTGGATCCACGTAAATCCTACTTTATATAATAAGTAAAAGTGTATTTATTATTTAACAAGTCCAGTGTAAATAATTGTTACCTAGGGGGAAGGAAGCAACCACTGTGAATCTCTCTCTTTCACTGATAAATAGGACTGATCTGACTTTGAGCTTTCACTATTTAAAATTTCTAAACAGGGTGAGATGGATTTGTTTGGCATTTTGGCCCCTTTGAGAGTTGGTTTGAGACTGCTCTGTGTGGAAGGGAGGAAGGAGGAGTGGTAACCCCAACTCTGTATCTTGTTTGGGGGAAGCCAGAGGATCTGGCCCAGCAGGACAGTGGTGGGGAGTCCCAGAGAGCAAGAAAGCAAGTGTCAGTGGCATGAATAGCACACCAGGTGTACAACCCAAGGTGACTTTCTGTCATTCACCCCATCACAGTAGCATTCAACAGAATAAATAACTCACCATGTGCCACAGCAGTGAAAACATCTTTATATGACAAAGCTTAGAAGTCTACTGTACTTCTATAGTCATTCCAAAATACCTGTACCAAAAATAGCTTAATGATCAGCTATGGGAATTTGTCCAAATGAAAACAAGATCTTGGCAGTCAAAGCATGTGCACCTCGTGTAATCCTTTTGGATAATTTTGGCCAATGAATGTCAAGTCACCAGAATAGCTAGAAGACTTATCACAGCTCTGTTAAAGTATAATTCATGTAATCGGGTTTATTAACTCTTTAGATGTACAATATCCCAATGCTGTATGAACACCTACCCTGCATTGTTACTGACTGCAGTTAGCCCTTTTACTCCAGTCTTCAGTAAGCCTCCTATGAGGTTCTCTGGAATGCCACACAATCCAAAACCTATACAAAACAAAACACAAATGAAGAATGTAACAAGCATTCTAGAGAATGACTTCTTCATAAAAATAAATCTTTGCAGCAGATGGTACAAAAACATTCATTCTGCACAGTTAGAGAATAATCTGGTTCTAGAGGAATAAGCAATTCAATACTTGGAGAAAATATCTCTCAGAACAGAGAACAATACAACCTGTCTCCAACTTACGAACCGGTTACGGACCAAGCAATTGGTCATAACTCGGTTTGTTCGTAAGTCGGTCCCCATTGAGTTACACGCGACCACGCTGTTCATAAGCGCGGATCGCATTCGTAACTCGGGGTCTGCCATTTACGACATTTTTGGTCAGAACTGCGAATGGTCGTAAGTCGACCGTTTTCAACTCGGGGACTGGCTGTATTTTAATACATTCTATTTCCATTACTATGAATGTTGGTTTGAAAGGGTACAAATCTCCTTTCCTTTCAGTCCCTCCAGAAGTCACCTTCCCTTTTCGTTACATTGCCAATATTTATTTCCATGCTAGATCTCTGCTGTAGCATTCCTTCTTCTGCAATATTACAGTTCAAGCTCCTCCACTTCAGTTTTTGACAACCCATAAGTTTGCCTCCACTTGCATCTCTAAACTTAATTTCCTCTGATTGACATACTCTCCCTTCTTCAGTCCAGTTTAGCATCAGACCAGAAGACTCACTTTAATTCTGCTGCCAATCTATATAAGTAGAGTAAGTGCGATCAGGTCTCTCCTTCAGCATTCCCATCTTTGTGTTTACCTTTTATTCATCTCTGAGGCAGCCCCTCTTTTGGTTTAAAAACCCATTAGCAACTTATAAAAATACAACTACTCCATAAAACATCCCAACTAAGATGACCATGTGCCTTTCTGTATTTGCTAGATAGCAATGGTCATTACTGTTTGGACCCTTTCATGTTTGTATTGGACCCAGGTGTTTTGGTTGTAAACTATGGAAAACAAAAATTATGTTATTTATTTGGAACAATACTTGTAATATTCTCTCATGTAAATAAAAAATAAACTCTGCACTAAGCATATATTGCCTTTCAGGCTTACTGTTGTGACTTTGTGGTAACCATCAAGAGAACCCATATGATACATTTTTAAAATGTGATTATATGATTCTTCAAAAAAAAATCCAGCTGTTTAAATAGGGAGAGAGAGAGAGAGGATACTTTTATCATGTTGGTACAAAGTGTTACCAGTTAGCCAATACAAGGAAACTGTAGCACAAATATAACCTAGATCAGTTATAAGAAGTAACATTTTAAACCTTTGCAGCAATTTTCCCATTAGGGAATCTCAGAGGTTGGGCCTGTGTGCATGTTAAAAAAAAAAAAAAATTCTTCAGTGACTAGTCTACAGTACACAAAGATAGGTTGATGTAAGATGCCTGGTGTCAGTCTACTTGTGCAATGTCTTCCACCACCTGCCCCACCGTGCCCGACTACTCTGCTCACAATTTTAACTCCACTGCCTAGGGGTCAAGAGACTATAAGATCTCCATCCTCTTTAAAGCCTGCAATTTTTTGAAATGTCTTTTCCTGTCTTGCTCAGTGAGCAATTCTCCATTGGTGAGCTCAACCACTCAGTTAATTATGTGGTCTACACACAATAGGGATGTTAGCTATCAGTTAATTGAATAGTTGACTAACTGCTAAGAATTCACGTGGTTAGTCAACTATTCTGTAGTCCCCAGGGGCAGGTCCAGCAGCCAGTGCAATCCAGCCTCCTCTATCAGAGGCAACAGCATAGGGTGTTATGTGGGGTATCATGGCGGAAGCCAGTTTAAAACCCAGCTCCCCTCATGGACTGGCTAACTGCCCCCCTGCTGCCTCTGATAGAGACGTAGCCACGCGGCATGGCAGGGGGCTCCCCAGGAGTGGGGCAGGAATGAGCAGGAACTGAGCCAGGCTGCCTGCCCACCTGGCTCCTAATACACTTTAAATACAGAGCTACAGTGGGGGTAGGTCCCGGACTCCATGCAAGTCGGGACTGAGCCAGGCTGCTGGTCAGCCTACTAAAAAGTTTACTGGAGGGGGAGGGAGGGGAAAAATGCATGTAGTCTTTAGCATTAACCTATGAGCTTTTGCTTCTCAGCTAGTCGACTACACTGTTACATCCCTACTCTAGCTGTGGCTTTCTCCCACTGACTAAGCGCCACCCTCAGAGGCCCCGCTCCCTTCCTGCACTGCAGGTATTTCCGTAACGAAGTGGGTCTGGAGTGAGATGCCAGTCCTCTCCTGTGCTCCAGAGTGCCAGCCGAATATTCTGAGTGTCCCCTTCCGAGGGGGAAAGGGGAACTGGCTTTTAAGTTCTACTTCCCGGCCCCTCCTCCCTCCCCTGTCTCTGATAGAGAGGCAGCAAGGGGTGAATGCAAGTAGTCAACAAGATTAACTAATAAGCCTAAGCTTATCAGTTAATCAACTTCAGATTCACATCCCTGACACACACCAGATGCACGCCTGCTTGGATTTCCTGGGCCTGTGGGAAGAGGCTATACAAGGCCAGCTATTGACCAGCCATAGAAACACGGACATCCACAAGCAGATGACACAGGGAATGAGGAAGTAGTGGTACAATAGGATCAGCAGCAGTGCTTCGTGAAAGCCAAAGAACTGTATCAGAAAGTCAACCTGGAGCTGATCTGCAAACATGCATCTTTTGCATAAAGGTGCATTCCATAAGGGCAGAGACCTTACCACCAGCCCACCCCATTCTGTGGATATTGCCAAGGACCCCAAGCCACAGGCCTCCGGCTTGAAGAGTGAGGAGGAGGAGTATGGGGGACACATAGGGTAGCTGCACTTGCCGGTTGCAAGCCAGGACCTATTTGAGACTTTACCACAGTTCAGTTAGCCCTAGCACTCAAGCACAGGTGAGCCTGTTGCAGGGGAAGGTGCCTCATGCAAGCATGTAACTGTATTTCCCATTACAATGATGTACTGGTGGCGCCTCCAATTTAACAGGACACTCGTACCAACTTTTCATTAATGTACTCTGACTAAAAGAGGTAGCAGTAAAATAAGAAGCAGTAGCATTGTTATCCGCTTTCCATTCCCCTGAACAGCTGGGTGTGGGAAGAGGCATGTAGAGCTCTCAGTGAAACCTTCACAGAAGTGCTCTGCAATACTCTCCTGATGACTTCTACAGATAGCAGCCTTATTCCTTCCTCTGTGGTAGGACACATTCCCACACCAGCCAGCAATAAATTTTGGCAGGCACCTTTGCAGTACATATGCTAGCAGCATACACCCCTGAGCAGCTTTAGGACACTACCAACAGCTGTGTTTTCTGTGCCTTTAGTACCTGAAAGAGTGAGATACAAGCTACAATCACTACCACCTCTGAAAATGGTGCTAGTATTCACTGCCATAGCCCTAATCATAGTTCCCTGAAATGAAGCCTCATTTCCCTCACCCTGAAAGGCCATACTCTCCATAGCGAGTGGCACTTTGCACAAGTACTCCAAAGCATATGTTTCAATAAACACGCACCATTTTAAACTTTAGGAGAGCAAGGGAAGGGAATTCTTAATCTTTATGTCTGCTTTCCATTATGACTATGTGACAAAGGGAGCTCTGCGTGTTTTAATCTGTGGCTTATGCCTTTGCAGAGTTGTGGGGATCCCCCCCCCTCCACATACACCCCCCAAATGCCTGAGCCAGATAAGGGTGAGAAATAAGACAATTCAGGATTACATGTTCAATGAGATCCTGCAAGCCAGTGCTATGTCAGACCATGAACAAAATACATGGAGGATGCAGACAGCCTGGACAAGAAAAGAATGGAAAGAAGAAAGGCCTAGGAGTGCCAGCAGGAAAAGGAGAGGGAGATGCAGCAGGACATAGTGGGGCTATTCTGGCAGCAAATGCAGCTTCTGCAGACTCTTGTGAGCCTATAGATTGAGTAATCGCAGACTTGCTTCCCTTTGCAATCCATAGACAACTCCATTACAGTATCTCCCTATGCTACCCTCTCAACATTTCACATGGCATATGGGGCTGCATCTATCTTTACCACTTCACCCTCAGGACACCATGAGCAACCACAGCTTCATATATACTGACCTGTGAAAGCCACAGTTGCTGCATGTGTAGGTAAAATAGACATTAATGTTCTTTCCCTTGTTAAGTTCTGGTCCATTCATTTATTGAGTTTTTAAATGTATTTGATTTTAAACTGCAGAAATTATTTTTGCACTGATTTTGTTACTGAATAAAGTTCTATTATTTGGGAACTAACATCTTTATTAGACCACAGTATAAAACTAGCAGTTTTGAAAGCACTTACATTCTTGTTATTGTGCAGTGTGATAAACTCAGAGGATTAGTTTGAACTTGAACAATTTATTCACTGTCTTTTTCCTCCCTTCTCCCCCCTTTCCTTATTTATTCTTGGATCTGGACTTTTAATACTCCTGTCATCTGAAGAAGTGGGTTTTGCCCAGGACTGTTCATCATACCATCTATATGTTTTAAGGTGCTACAAGACTATTCAGCATTTAAGTTTTTTTAGTTACAGACTAACTTGGCTACCCCTCTGGAGTCATAGGATCAGTGACAGTGTAATAATCAAATGTACAGAAAGTACCACATATTATACTTCCAGTGCGCTTTCTTATATCAGAGATCTGCCTAGCACCTACAATTTCTAACAGGCCCCAAAAAACTACTGGGATGCTCCATTCCCCCATTAGGATCCATTCTTGTGAGTAAATACCAGCATCCCTTTTATCTACCAGAAGCACATTCAACAGTCATTCTGCATCTGCTGAGCCTGTGATGGAATCTTTCCTTGTTGCAGTCAAGGTGGCCAGCGTACAGTTTAATAGGCTAGATTTTCCAGGATCACTACTGGCATTTCAACATCATCTATGGCATAATAAGTCCTTTTTTGCAGCTTTCTGAACAGTACCGTGGTCTTGAAGATGTAAACATCATGCATCTACCCTGACCAGTCAATACTGGGGTCAGTGAGGCATCCTGGTGATCCACCTGCATAACCAAAGAAAACCAGAGTCCTTTCTGTTGATATACTCAGTGGTAACGTGATCCTGTGCCAATGAGGATATGCATGGTATCTATTGCACCATCACAGTCCTAGAATCCCATTGCTGCAAATCCATTTCACTATGTCCTCCTGCATGCTGTCGAAAATCAGAGCCCTGCATAGCAGGAAACAGTGAACAGTCCTGCATGCTTGCACAAAACAGCCCCTCTTCAAGTGTATTTTCCAGTTCCAAAATGATCCTTCTCCAACCAATAGCAACCTGGCATAACCAAGTATCTACAGTGAAATCACCACTCACTTCTCCACAGTCAGTGTAGCTCTTATTTTGGTATCCCTGTGCTTGAGTGAGCTCAGCACACCTATCCAGGAATATGGCCTTGCATACCCATAAGTTCTGCAGCCACTGCACCCCGCACTTCCTCCCACACCAAACTCCCTCCCAGAGTCTGCCCCTTCAATCCTCTGTCCCAATCTGGTGAGAATGTGTGAGCATAGGAGAGAACAAGCAACAGAGGAAAGGCAAGCAAGGGCAGGGTCTTGGAGCAGGGGCATGGCCTCAGGGATACGGCACTAGGCTAGGGAGGACAGAGTTGTGGGTTCAAGCCTTGGACAGGATGGCCAAAAGCTGGGTGGTCCAGGAGCAGGAAGTAAAAGGGGTAGCCTGATGGTAAGGTGGTGGGGCCTCAAGGAAGGGGTAAGACAGGGCAGGTTTGCATGGTTATGTAGGTGGCATCCTTACCAGGGCAGGCATGAAGAAGGCCCTGGTTGTACCAGAAGAGCTTGCTGGGCACTTGCTAGGCACCAGCCCACACAAGTGCAGCATCAGGCAGATGATGGGAGTGGCTTGTATGTGTATGGGGGCTCATTGACTGTTCTGCCCTAGGGCCTGGAATTGCTGCCAGTGGGCCTGTCTTCCTTATTGAAAAAGCCCTTGTAATCACAAATTACAAGAAATATTTTCCTCAATACATGATATTTAAAAGGTGCTCTAACATTTTTTAATCAATTAAAAAAATCAAGTTGAGAATGTCCTACTCAGAAAATAAGATTGTCCCCATGAAGGACAGTAAAATTAATATTTACCACCAACAAGAACAGTTGCCCCATCTGGTATGTCTTTTACTGCTTCCACAGCATCAGTATAAAATTTGGTGTTGCGATGACTGCTGGTAGAGAAACAGCAGCCACAAATCTGAAACAACATAAAAAGAAATAAGCATGAACAAAATGTTTTGCATTGCAGCCTTACCATGAACTGTGTAGGAGGGAGATTACGTTTACTAGAAAACTGCAGATAGTTGTTGAAGCACAAATCTTCAGTTTTTGAAGTAGGGATGTTAAGTATCGGTTAATTGGATAGTCAAGTAACCTCATGAATTTTTATCAGTTAGTCAACTATTCTATAGTCTGCAGGGGTGGAGCCAGCAGCCCCTGTAGCAATGCAGGGTGCCAGGCAGGAGCTGGTCCAGGAGGGTAACCAGTTTAAAAACTAGCTCTCCTTGTGAACCAGCTGCCAGTCACCCAATACTGCTGCCTCTGATAAAGAGGCAGCAGATTAGGGTTGCAGCAGCCCCTGTCTAAGGCAGGTCTGAGCTCCTGGAATTGGCATGAGCCAGAACTGAGCTGGGCTGCCTGCCCACCTGCCTCCTAATACACTTTAAATGCAGAGCCACAATAGGGGTAGGTTCTGAACCCGGCATGAGCCAGAACGGAGCCAGGCAGCCTGCTAAAAAAATTTTACTGGGGTCGAGGGGGGGGAGGAAATGCATGTAGTCTATAGCATTAACCTATAAACTTTTGCTTATTGGTTAATCGACTACTCTATTACATCCCTAGTTTGAAGGGGAAAATGGATTGAGTTCCAACACCTTTTTGTGAACCAGTACCCATTCTGGACCTCCAAAAGATCAACTTTGGCTGCTCTGCTTCTCCCAGACTTCATGACATGTACAGTATTATGCTATTATGTTTATATGCAATGTTGATTCCACTTAGGAAGCCTAATAAGATGATCTTGTCTACAGGTGTCAGTGTATTTTATATGTCCATAGTTAAATAATACTTGTTTTGCCCTCAATGCCAGACTGTAAATGCAACTCATTTAACCTGATTTTAACATGCTAAAGCTAAAATCATAGGGCTACCTTAAAGTATAGTACAACTGGGATGTGCTTCTCATTTTATCCACATGCCTATACAAAAGGAGGTATATAAATACATGGATATAAATCCTTATCTTAGGTAGCTTTGTCAAGGTGAAATGAGCTATGGTTTTCAGTGAAGTGCCATATGTGATTTCTTACTCAATCATCTTTTGTTGTTTGTATTGTACAGAACTATGTGGGGTAAGATAATAATTATTCCCACCCATATGTGAAAATGTTGAAGCTATACAATAAATAGCATGTTTCAAATGTATGAATAAATCTTAAAAAGGTATTAATATTGCAAATGTTGAAACAAAAAGATTTCACATTATGAACTACAGCCCCCCATCCTACAAGGTCACTCCATGCAAAGTTCCAAATCAAAGGGTTAAGGGGACTGGTACTTCATAATTTCAAATCTCCCCACCCCCAACATTTTCAATACTGAATTCCATCTTTTACTTTTCTAACTCACCCCAAAACCAAACCCCATCTTTCATGTCCTATTGAGTCAGGCCCACCACTTATTAAAACTGAGCAATTAACCAAAGGCCATGGTGAAAGTACTTCACCTTCTCTTTACTGCTTTCAGCAAGCAATACAAAGAGACCAGTGTCTGCATCTACATTGCTCAGTAAAAGTGTCTGGCAGCAGAAGAGGCCATTCTGGGGCTCAAGAAATAGTCAAAGATTTGTTGTTCGCTATTGTATTTAACAGCCACAGCTTGTCTTGCCCAGAGACAATAGCACACGTCCTGAACAACTAGCTCATGATATGCAAATCGAAGCAGCGCGAATCCACCGCTTTTGTTCTTTTCTGATCTAATATAGGGCTCTCTCTGGGGGGAGGATTCCGCAGTTCCCAAGCAGATCAGACGTACTTTGCATTGTGCACGTTGCACACCAAACAGATCTGAAGCAGTAACGGGAAGGCCTGATTTCTGGCTAAGAAAAGCCAAGCGGGCAGTACCGTGAAGTCGCCTGTTTCCCTCCCCAAGGTCAACCCCACAGGCCGCGGGCTGAAAGACTCTCCAGATGCCGCGCCTCCCGCCAGGCAGAGCTGCAACGTGCCACTGTGTAGCGGTAGGTGGCACCCAGGGTGCTACAGTGTCTCCGGGGGCGGCGAGCGGGGAACCAGGCCAGCGATGCAGGCAACTCTCAAGGGCGCCGCCGCGCAATGCCAACCGAACGCAAACCGGGCAGCGCGCCCC